TGCTCCTGCCTGGCATTGTCAGTTTGGTTGGCTGGTTGATGCTTTTGCCAGTGCACAGAAGCAAATGGTGTTACCACACAGCTGCTCTGTACAAAGAGAAAGCACTGTGGCCAACCTCCCAAAGTGAAATTTACTGGCAGGATACCAAAAATGTACTGTCAGCAGCAATTTTTTTACTGACACAACACAATAAATATATTGACACAGCTATTTTTTTTAACTGACACTTCAAAAAAGTACACACATGTTTTCAATGCGAAACATTGCATATATCAATATTTAAGCTACAAACATGTAGCTAGTGCTATTAGCAATCTGTTTAAGATACAACATAAGGCAAAAAACAGATTTCTCCATTTACACGAGGCTCAGGTTAATATAACCCAGCAGTTTGTCACCTGTGTCCAACTGGAGAGGTTTCCCTTCAATTTCAGTTCCATAACCACCGCAGAAAGTGAGGGGAAATCCCAGGTAGCCATTAGGATCAATATGGACACAATGCAACCAATCTGAATGGAAGCCAATTAACCTACTACATTGTAGAATGGTTCTGGATACTTAGAGGGAACCTACTCAAAAACACAAACAGAACATCAGAAACGTTGCGTGGTTTGGGGGGGTGGAGAGGAAAGACAATTGCTTGATTGCCCCATCAACACTGTCAGTATTGATGGGGCAATCAAGCACTTTTCTTTCCTGCAGCGCTGTTGTGTGTGTGGGGTGCCTTCCCTGCCAGCAGAACACAATGCTCACTGCTGACAGCTATAGTCACCAGCAGAAGTCACATGTGAAAAATCCAACAGGCTGGTTATACTGAAGTTGATTGATGGATTGACTTCAGTACAACTAGCCTGCTCATAGATGGATCGAATCTCGGCTGGTTCCTGCTGAACCGACCAAGATTCGAACCATCTATAGCCAGCTTAAGTTCTATTTGCCTATCAGTAGTAAGAAGTATTTTTTGTTCTTTAATAATGCAAATCCTTAAAGAGGGGTTGCCTGCATGGTCAATGCTGGATCATCTTGGAGGGCTGCATACTCAGACAGTGCTAACAAATTGACCTACCCAGTACTTGCTGGTATGATGGGCATGTGGCTTTATCTACTTCCTACCACATGAAAGCTCTGGTGAATGGCAATTGGCATCACAGGCACCCAGGCCTTTTAATGGGGTGGAAAGGGAGAGTCCTTAACCCTGTGTAAGCTTCACATCATGGCTTCTTCTCACTCGCACCATGGAGTGGCGGTATTAAAAGGAAAGGTAAGTGTAAGTAGCACTAAGGGTTGGAATAAAGAGAACCTGTTGGTTTGCCTAGCACGTTGACTAATATAAATGTCATTCCATGTTAAAGTAACTCTGTCGCTATGAAAAATAACAATAATAGAGCATTCCTGCAAAATAATTTCTTAACATTTCCAACTTCTCATGCAACGGTATTTGCTCTCTTGCGCCAAGCTTGTTGAACATTTTTAGCATCCAATACTTCCGAGTGTGTTGGATGCTGCTGACCTGCTGTTTCACCTGCTGACCCCTACATCAATTGAGTGGTGATGCAAGGGTCATCAGAAGGAACCACAGCATGTTGCAGGGGACCATACATCTGGAAGTGTGGTGGACACTGAAGTTTTTTCAGCAAGCTCTTCAGAGTGAAGATTGGTGGCAGAAGTGACACAGCAGGTAGTTATCCCTTATTATCCTTATCCAGAGTGGCTGCTTTAGCATGTATGTACAGTCAGATCCATAAATATTGGGACATGGACACAATTCTAACATTTTTGGCTCTATGCACCACCACAATGGATTTGAAATGAAACAAACAAGATGTGCTTTAACTGCAGACAGTCAGCTTTAATTTGAGGGTATCTACATCCAAATCAGGTGAACGGTGTAGGAATTACAACAGTTTGCATATGTGCCTCCCACTTCTTAAGGGACCAAAAGTAATGGGACAATTGGCTTCTCAGCTGTTCTATGTCCAGGTGTGTGTTATTCCCTCATTATCCCAATTACAATGAGCAGATAAAAGGTCCAGAGTTCATTTCAAGTGTGCTATTTGCATTTGGAATCTGTTGCTATCAACTCTCAAGATGAGATCCAAAGAGCTGTCACTATCAGTGAAGCAAGCCATCATAAGGCTGAAAAAACAAAAGAAACCCATCAGAGAGATAGAAAAAACATTAGGCGTGGCCAAAACAACTGTTTTGAACATTCTTAAAAAGAAGGAATGCAACAGTGAGCTCAGCAACACCAAAAGACCCGGAAGACCACGGAAAACACCTGTGGTGGATGACTGAAGAATTCTTTCCCTGGTGAAGAAAACACCCTTCACAACAGTTGGTCAGATCAGGAACACTCTCTAGGAGGTAGGTGTATATGTGTCAAAGTCAACAATCAAGAGAAGACTTCACCAGAGTGAATACAGAGGGTTCACCACAAGATGTAAACCATTGGTGAGCCTCAAAAACAGGAAGGCCAGATTAGAGTTTGCCAAACGACATCTAAAAAAGCCTTCACAGTTCTGGAATAACATACTATGGACAGATGAGACCAAGATCAACTTGTACCAGAGTGATGGAAGAGAGGAGTATGGAGAAGGAAAGGAATTGCTCATGATCCTAAGCATACCACCTCATCAGTGAAGCATGGTGGTGGTAGTGTCATGGCGTGGGCATGTATGGCTGCCAATGGAACTGGTTCTCTTGTATTTATTGATGATGTGACTGCTGACAGAAGCAGCAGGATGAATTCTGAAGTGTTTCGGGCAATATTATCTGCTCATATTCAGCCAAATGCTTCAGAACTCATTGGACGCCGCTTCACAGTGCAGATGGACAATGACCCAAAGCATACTGCAAAAGCAACCAAAGAGTTTTTTAAGGGAAAGAAGTGGAATGTTATGCAATGGCCAAGTCAATCACCTGACCTGAATCTGATTGAGCATGCATTTCACTTGCTGAAGACAAAACTGAAGGGAAAATGCCCCAAGAAAAAGCAGGAACTGAAGACAGTTGCAGTAGAGGCCTGGCAGAGCATCACCACAGATGAAACCCAGCGTCTGGTGATGTCTATGCGTTCCACACTTCAGGCTGTAATTGACTGCAAAGGATTTGCAACCAAGAATTAAAAAGTGAAAGTTTGATTTATGATTATTATTCTGTCCCATTACTTTTGGTCCCTTAAGAAGTGGGAGGCACATATGCAAACTGTTGTAATTCCTACACTGTTCACCTGATTTGGATTTAAATACCCTCAAATTAAAGCTGACAGTCTGCAGTTAAAGCACATCTTGTTTGTTTCATTTCAAATCTATTGTGGTGGTGTATAGAGCCAAAAATGTTAGAATTGTGTCGATGTCCCAATATTTATGGACCTGACTGTATGTCCACCTTAATTTTTCATTATGACAGATAATAGTAGGAGTCCAAACTGGATGTGGAAACAGCATCTTTTGAGGCCATTTTGCATATCACTATGCTGTAATCAAGTATTCCAATTACATCAGACTGGTTACCTGTCTTCCATTGCAGACACTGGACATTGTTATTGCTGCAATGTTGCTCTGTTAACTATTCCCTTTGGAGTCATCCAGAAAAGCTGCCATGACATCACTGTGCAGGTGCACACCTGCCCATCATTCAAGCCCACCCAAACCCTGCCAGCTCCTGCCTGAGCTCAGGAAGCTTGCGGCCATATTTTTTTTTTACAGAAAGCTGGAAGACACAGTGCACACACCTCTTCCTCTTGAGCCCGAGTATGCCTGAGCCCATCTGGCTTTAGAACTGTGCATGCGCAGTTCTGAAGCTGGCCCACGGCCATATATTTTATATAGGCAGCCGCCACCTGTAATGGACATTTACAGACACTGTAAACATTGGCCGATTTTTAAAAACTGTCCGTAAATGTATGTACTGTTGGCAACCCGAAGAGAAAGTGACTGGGGCTGCTCTGTCCTAGTTCTCTTTTATATCCCAGTGCATTCTGGGATACTGAAGCCTGCACTGCCTACCAAGTTAACACTTTGTAAATGCTTCACTAACACACCATAAATACTCTAAGTGCTGTTAAGGTGTGGTTACATCCATGCCTCATGAAAACAACACGCTGCTTCATTTATAACATGACACAATGCTACTGCTCCTGTGTGAATAGCACTGTGTGATGCAATTGTAATATTCATGGCATGTGTTGAAGAGCATTATGAGGCTTTAAAAATGCTGCATAAATTTCACATAAACACAGGGTTTTGACACATATGAACGAGCCCTAAAACTACTTTTTTTAAAAAAATTATACTTTAAAAATTAGAAATAAATCACATTGCCTTCTTTTTTATTATTTCATAGTGTTTGTAGATTACAGATAAAAAAAAATTAAACAGTTTTTGGAAGGTAACATTGCCAAAGAAAGCCTAGTTTGTCCCCCAAAAAAGCAGTATACTGTATGTATTGCTTTGTTATATTAAATAATGACTAAACAGAAATTTAAAAATTGTGCTGGTCCAAAAAATGGGTACAAATGGTATAAAGTGGTTAAAATACCCCTAACCAACATTTATAGGCCACGCAATTTTGAAATTGAGTTACAGAAATGTTTTTTAAACAGGCAGCTGAATTCCTATTTCAGTAATCTAGTGGTCCCCAAGCAGCACAGGTGGAGAGGTGATCCAGAAGGCTAATCAGTGAAAGCTAATGGGATGCTGCAGACCGAGCACTGCATGCAGTGTGCAGTGATGTGTGAAGACTCTTCACAGGATTTAGAAACACCTCCCAAATATCTCTTTTGAAGCTCATGAAGACTTCTCTTACTTTTTGAATCTTTATAGCATATAGATATATAGCATTTTATCACACTATATTTGGATACTTCTATCTTTCATATAATGCAGTATATAGAGTACATGCTTGCACAAACACATTAACCAGTTTTTATGCTGTGTACATTTACTTATACTCTCCCCTTCTGGCTTATTGACAAATAAGTGAAGACCTTCAAAACTTACATCAACAGGTCTGTCATCAGATGCACGTCCTACAATCAGAGATCGTCCCTGAAAATCAATACCGTTCTTCTTATCCGTCTGTCTTCTTTCAATTAATTTACAGTCTACATAAAGTGAAATAATGTTTTCTTCTATGGAGATTCCAAGCTTATGCCACAGACGATCAAAAAGAGGATGAAGCTCCCGGCTCTTAAATGTATAGAGTAAAGTGGATACTCCACTTTTAGCAGTAAACTCCACAACTTTCTTCTCACCATCAATTATAATTGAATCCTGAAACACAGACAAAATAATTTTACCAGTAGTAATGATTTTTGTGATACCTATACATTTTATCATAACGTATATAATGGTCACCAAACCCTTTCACCTAACATGCTTTTTGGACTTCTCCATTGAAGAGGTTTCCACTTTGTAGAAATGTAACATTTCTGCCAGTTTTGGAAAGGATCTTCTGGTGGCAAGATTTTTAATGTACCTTTTAAATAGTTTTGACACAAGTAAAATAGGAAATGTTTTTAATTGGTTTTCTATCTCAGAAACAAAGAACCAATAACCTCATAGGGCCTGATTTTGTGAACAAGAGCAAGGAAAAATTGCTACACAATTGTGGGCTCACATAAGTCAAGGTTGTAAAGATGCACAGCAAATGTGCCCCATGTACTTATCTAGCTGATCAGACACTGATAGTTAATGCATATGCTGATATGCTAATTGGGTATGTGCATTTAATATACTAAACAAATAATGCATGTCAATATTGTCATTAAAAATAAAAGTAAACATTGACTTGCTCACCAAGAACTGATATGTCATGTCATGCAATGTGCCAAGCAAAACAACAAGTATATAAAACCTGCAAGTCATGCTGCCCAAAAAAATCACCAAATGTACAAAAGTTTATCAGTGGAATCTCTATTCTAAACACTGCTGCATATGATCTTGTACAATGGCTAATGTGTGAGCTTTCGTACATGTGCACAAAGATGTGTGCAATGGCCATCTGCAATTTTTTACAATCTCTGTTAGTGGCATACACATTTTATTCCATGTGGATTTTGAAAAGGTTAAGAGTGTTTAGAAAGATCCAGAAACATTTGAGAAAAATCACATTTTTATTTTGGAAAGGCCATGGCAAAGCCAAGACAGATTTAGGTGCTGGTGAGTACAATCCAAAGCAAGCCCCAATAAATGAGACCCATAATGTAAACTAATTAAAATATGATTTAAAATGTATTATTTTTGCTATTTTGGTGGACCCTTATACATAGTTAATTAACTGGTAATCTCTGGACATCCTAGATCTTGACCAGTTCTACCTACGTTAGTAGTGCTCACAGGAACAGCTTAATACCAACTTGGATAGAATGTAGTACCACAAAGGCAATTTTGCAGGTGGCATAGACATCACAGGACAATTACTGTTGTGAGAAGGTATCATAATCTAAGTTTCTGAAAAGTGGTGGGTCCCCTTTAATAACTAAAATCTACTCATAAAAATACATAGAACATGAATGGTGATATTGTAACTTATATGACTATGTTTATAACTTCCAATCCAAATACTATTAACATCCTACCTGCAGAACCCCAGAACGAGTCAATGTTTTCCACAATGTCCAGCGCTCCTTTTTAGTATTGCGTCTTACACGGAAAAGGGTGGTTATTGAATACTCATCTGGAAGTCCAGCAGTAAAAATTTTCCTAGAGACATAAACAAGTACCATTCAATACTAATAATTAAAACAATACACATTTTAAAGAAAATAGTCCCCCTCACATTAATAATGTTGGCGCAAATAGACAGTCTTTAGATTAAACTGGACAATCAATAGTCTTTCAGATGCTAAGGACCAATAAGTGCCAATATAGGATACAAAGCAAGCCCTGAATGTGGTTGATTTGTTAACAGCAAATACGTTTCTACCTTTCCAAGAGAAATTTCACTTTACATAGAAAGTTTCCCCAGAGCTGGGGAGAATGTGGTGAAATGTTACTTTCCAAAAAATACCCACGTGCAAGGAAAATTTTAAAGAAAATGCATATTTGTTTGCATGTGATCATATAATAGAAGTCAGCAAAGCCTCATTTCATTCATTAAGCTTTGGGGATAATTCTCTTGCAAAGTAAAACTTCCCTTACAAAGTGAACAGTCTGTTTGTCTTGAGTAAATCAACCCCAATGTAACAGCTTAAAAATGTGTATTCTATAAAAGCTATATAAATATGGTCACCAGATTGTCATTTTCCTCATGCAGGCTTGAATTTTTAAAAATAAATAAATGGCTGATATGTACACCCCCCATACAGGTCCCTTCTCTTTTCTGTAAATATATACATAAAGTTTGCAGTGTACAAACTACTACAGTATCATTTAATGGCAAACTCAGGCTATTAAAGATGCAGGTTTTCAGGACCCCATGGATGCCTTCCTACGACTTTATACAACTAAATTGTATAAAGCCTGAGGAAGGGATTTAGGAGGCTCTGAAGATTTCAGAGCCTTTTAGATCCCTTCTATAAAAACTTGTGTTATCCAAAAAAGATAACACCTAAGCTACAAACTGTTTGCATTGACACTAACACTGCACTTGGCAAACTTCTACTACTGTAGATTTATAGAAATTCTGTTTTAAAGACCTATGGACTAGAAAAAGGCTGAACAATATCATGAGTTTCAGAAAAGCTATTAGTCTCAGCATACAATGTCAGGACATATATACACACCTGCAGTTGCTCAGACCATAGAATGCATATAGTTAGACTTAGAAGATTGTAGCTCTAGCTACACATTCTACAAACACCTTTTTTGTTAGTCGCACCTGCTCTCTGTGTTCATTTCTTACAGCTGCAGATTTGCAATTCATTCTATGGTTCCAGAATATAGCTAAAATTAACCTTTTTTTCCTTCACATTTTTGTTATTCTATTTAGGGAAATCTTCCATACTTCATTATATATTACTTATATGATTAGTTTCCGGGTATTATTGGCATAATTAACGTGCTCACATCAACAGAAAAATGTAATTACTCTGGGACAAATCTCAACTAGCATTAAGGCAGAGTATCACTTTTCATTCTTTAATCACTTTCATTCACCGGTAGTCTGTGAAATATTATACGGTGTGAAGTGAATTTAAATAGCTATTTAATTAGGAAAATATGTGCTGTGTGCTTCATTTTTAGAATTCTGAATGAAATATTAAATGTTTGTGGAAAAATATTTCTCAACTTCTCACTGTAATAAACACCTCCAAATTTCCTACCCATACTACAACGAAAGTGATCTGTGAAATGACCATGCTGTACAGCATTATAGCTATGAATAGGACAGGAAATACTGTAAATAGTCACTCATTCAAACAGGAGACTGTCAACAGAGCTGCTGAGTTAACAGAGAGATTAATCTTTTTTCCAAGCCTCTATAAAATGAGTTACTTTCCTTTCAATGCACTATCATGTGTCCTCGAGTACATTTTGATACACTTGAGATCCAAGCTTTCCCTTAAAGCAGACCTTTATTTTATAGGTTTGCTGAGTAGGGTTTCTCTTTTAGTTCAGGAAAATTTTAATTCATCTTGATCATCACAGATTCAATTCTGAAAATCTAGAACAGATTATCTGTGATGTTCAAGTGCATTAAATTTGGCAGATTAAAAGCCATGTAGCATGCATAATTAGATGTGCATAGGGGTAATTATGTGCATATACTTAAAAGGGCAGCTTTTTAACCACTTGCCTACTGGGCACTTTCACACCCTTCCTGCCCAGGCCAATTTTCAGCTTTCAGCGCTGCCGCACTTTGAATGATATTGCACAGTCATGCAACGCTGTACACAAACCAAATTTTTATCCTTTTTTTCAGATAGAGTTTTCTTTTGGTGGTATTTAATCACCACTGGATTTTTTATTTTTTGCTCAACAAACTAAAAAAATACAACATTTTACAAAACTTAGTTTCTGTTATAAAATTGTGTAAATAAGTCATTTTTCTCCTTCAATGAGGTGTGCTGATGAGGATGCAATTATAGGCATCATTGATGGGCACTGAAAGGCAGCATTGATGAGCACTGATAGGTGGCACTGATAGGCGGCACTGACTGGCATTGATAGGTGGCACTGATAGAGTGCACTGATGAGGTGGCACCGATAGGTGTCATATGATGTCCTCCCAGAAGAAGAGATCTCCTGCCCATCCGTTATTTTCCCTATATGGTGGGTATTTTCACCAAAATGGCATAGAAAACCTCCTACAGCTGAGTACCCATGTCACAATATTGCTGGACAAGGGTTTATTCCCTACCTCCATGTCCCTTAAAAGGAGGTGGAAATAACAGTACAATGGGAGAAGGCTTTTAGTGGAATCTAGAAGACTCCTTTATAAGGGGTTGCTTAATATCCACCCCCACCCCAGGGAATAAGAACAAGGGTATATTACTACCCATTGCTTATTCCCACAAAGAGTGTTGCCATACAGATTTTCTATCCCCAACACTGGAAACTAAACTCAGGGTTTGAACTTAGCTAAACGGAAGGTGGGGGATCTAAAAAATAACAGCAGAGTGGCGGTTCTCAGCCTTGTTCTGTATAGTAAATGCTAACACTAGAGGGATCCTTGGACAGATAAAAAGGTCAACAGGTGTGCTTTCCTCCAGCTACCAGTTTGGCAGTAGCCATGTTGTAGTCATTGGCTGCTTTTATGTCCTTCTAATCCTAAAGGTTGTCCTTCAGAAGCAAACAAAGTCTCTGTTAGGCCACCTGCTCACAGAAAATTGAGGCACATGTCATTGAGGCAGGCTTTGTTTTCCCTAATGTTACAAACATTTTAAAAACACTGATAATGTCATTAAGGCTGCTGTCAAAATGAGGATTGCAAATAGGGGATTGCTGTAATCCTTCACATCACTACAGACCCCATAGAATCCCCTATACAGGACTGTGGCAGTCTTCCAGACAACCAAACAGCCCATCAATATTTCATTGCCATTGACTTCAATAGTGTTAGGGTTTGAATAAAGAGTAATGCAAGAGCCAAAAACTTTCAATTAAGAAGCCCAGTTTAAGCAATCAAGTATTTTTGGATTTAT